CTTGTCGACTCTAAGCCTTATAACTTTTAACCTTAAACCCTAAACCCCAAACTCAAAAGCTTAAGCTAAACCCTAAACCCCAAGACCCCACAACCTCACCACAGGGGGAAGAGGGACCACACACCCCACCCGCAGGGGGGGAGCGGGGGGCATGCTGGACCATGGACCATGGAGGGGAGGGGCGGGGAACGGGGGGAGCCCGCGGAGCGCCTGACCCTTTATGCATGTATCGAAATGCCCTGAGCGAGGGCCGTGGCTGCATGGCCAACATAATCATGAGTTATCTACATATCATGCACAGGCTCTCTTTCCAACGGAGCTCCACACCTGAGCCCCGTATTGCTCTGGTCATCGGTCGACGTTGTCGAAATTATCTCGACGACCATCAACACCACATCCAGGGAGATGACAAGAACATCCAACACGAACCAAGAGCCTCAGATGAGGTCTTCTGCGGAGCTACATTTTTTTGCTGTGTAGCGGCGATGAGATCACGTTCTTCAAGGGGCGTAAGTATATCTTGAAGAGCTCTGTGGGTCGGAGTTCCACGCGTCCGCCTCTTTCGACCCCGAAACAGAGGTTCAGCGGCATGTCCACGAGCCAAAAGGCCAGAGTGATCCTGGGCTGGGCTCATGCTCAGATGACTCTCGACTCTCTGAAACCGGCCTCGCCTGGACGTCGTGGTGAAGAAGTCGATGGAGCCTGGGATGTTGAAGAGCTCGAGTGGGATCGTGATCAGATCCCAGAGGATGAGCAGTGTGCCCAGCAGGGACCACGTGAGCTGTGGCTTGCTGCGGGGTCTCAAAACAAAGCGCTGCAAGCAAGTACTGTCTGTAAGATCGTCGCTCATCCGTATCTGAGGCAGTGAATGCCGATCGGAAACTCGGTATCCACGCATTCGTCGGTTCTTCCTAAGTGATGCGTGATCGCAGAAGCATCACCACAAGTCACCCAACAAAGGCCAAGGCACGCGGCCTCCTGCCAGGTACTGGAGAACCAGACCGGTCGCATGTTCAGGGTCTCCATCTGGTTTGGCTTCTCTTGGTCGGGCTCGGCTTCGGTTGACTCCTGGCGTCGCGAGGGTCAGCCGGTGCAAGCCTTTCATGTCGCCGGTCCTCGTCCTTGTCGAGGAGCTTCGCTGCAAAGTCCGCCCAACGCCCCACAGCGCTCCCATGGGCAATCGCCTCGTGACAGACCGACCTGGGCTTGACACGTTCACAACACTGCCATCATGTCTTGCCAGTAGAGCTCTCTTGAAGGACAACCTCTGACAGCTCCTAATGCTAACCTCCGATTTGCGAAACAACGTACCTGTGTGGTCGTACGGAAAGAATAGATAGAAATCAAAAGAATGGAGCTACACTAGTAGTATTCAGACTTGAGGCTCTAAATTGAAGCCCTGAGCCCGACGAGAGGCTTAGTTTTGGGGTTTGCGCTCTAAACTGAAGTCCTGATCACTCTGAGAGGCTGATACTTCAGGGCCTTAGGCTCTAAACTGAACCCCCTAAACTCGTGCAGACCTTGCCCCCGTAAAGGCAAAATCCGAAGCGGACAAGGGCCGTGACACCGCTTTCGATATTTTATCCGTGTTTCCATGGCTGTGAAAAGCCTTGGTTCTGACTCTAAATGCAAAATCCAAGAAATCGAGAAAAGCCGCGCAGCCCTCAAACATGGTTTTGATGTCCAATCTTGCTGAAACCCCCATCTATCCTGCTAAATCATGTTAATCCTAATTTTGAAGTTTTGTTTGTGTGCAAGGCATTGCAGGATCCTTCGTTCATGCTACACTTCCCTTTTAGCTGTCACTACCAGGCCTGTTGGAGAGCCTGCCGCTGCGCCCTTAGAGGCAAAATCCGAAGCCGAAAAAGACCATCAAGCTGCTTTCAAAGGAGTAATTCAGTCGCCCTGGTTTTGCCCAGCCAAGGCTTTGACCACAAATGCGGCTCACGCATGGATTTTATGTCCAATTTTCCCAAAGCGGATGGAACTTGCTGAACCTGATTCTGGAATTCTTGCTTGTTTCGAAGGCATTGCAAGTTTTTTCGTGCCGGCTCCGTGCTCCTGCGCAGTCAGTACCGGGCCCGTGTGGGAGACCTGGCCGCTGGGCGCTTCAAGGCAGAATGCAAAGCCGAAAAACAACCATAAACCTGCTGGCTATCAATTGATCACTTTTTGCCATGCACCTGCAAGACCTTATAGACTTATAGGTTTGTGACGGTAAAGCCACTTTCGGAAATCCGCGAAAGCCACATGCGACCCTTTTGGTGTCTAAATTCCTCGGAATGCAGTTCAAAATGACCTGAAAATCTTTGTTCGGTCGAAACCTGAACTTGCAAAGATAAATGAAAAAATATGCTGAGGTCAAATCAAGGTGGGCCCAAAACTAAAGACTCCTGCCAGTGCTACTACCACCACCAAGAGCCCCTCCAACCACCTTTTCAACACTGATTCACAGGGGTCGGGAGGAACACTTGAACTGGGTTGTTTGGGGTGGCTTCTCATCAAGGCTATCGTTACGTAGCCTATACTGATGGATCACCCCAACAAAAACATCCCTGCACACCCAGCGGCACTGCATCGGTGTCATTAAAGTACAGCTGGTGGCGCAGTTCCACAATTGTCTTCCTCAATTCACCGACCTCCTTGTGGTGTTGCTGTAGAACACTCTCCCGCAGGGCTTCCAGCTGCATCCCCAGCAGGCCGTCCATGGCTTTTTTCGGTGATGGTGACGGCATTGCGGCAAGCGTCGCAAAGTAAACTGGGCAGCGAAGGATGCAGGATGACCGTGGGTCGCAAGCACTCGATTTGAACAATGAGTCGTGGCCACATTGCCTGGAAATCGAAGATCGATCTAAAATCTACTGAAAGCCACAATGCCAGCGACAACATTGTTCCCAACAAGTCTTGCAACATAGTGCCCAAGCAACCAGGACGGATTGGCACGGCCAGCACACATCCAGAATTTTAGCAGGAATGTAGGACAACCTGCACGGTCCCACATGTGACACCGCCAAATCAATCCAAGGAATTGTTTAACTGTCCTGCAGACACGGTTCCATGATTTGACGGTGTCATCTTCTTCGTTCTGCAGCCATGCACCACCGACAACTAGGCCTTAGGCCTCAACATACACTGCTGCTGCATTAGGAGAAGAGGGATTCCTGGCAGCAAAAAGCTCAAACCTTCCGTTTGACTCCGCTTCCGTCGGTCCTTGATCATACGTTGGAACGCCTCGTCTGACCTGCAAGAGACAAACACAAGCAAAGACGTTCAATACAAAGCAGCCTGGAGACAGCCCAGTGGATCCAGGGTGCAACTTTGAAGCCCATGGTGGTGCAGGCGGGCAGATCTGCAGCCGACACAGCTTTTGTGAAAACGGGCGCGCAGCATCGACAGCGGCCGCGACAGCCTGCTGCATGGTCTCTTTGATGAGCTTGACCTCCTCCTCCGTTAGGAAGTTTGCCTGGCGTGCACGGAAAGACCCACAGCAGATAGCAGCTTAGGTCAGCCTTGAAGATCGTCAATTGCCAGTTTAGGCTTTCGGAACTGCCTGGATCGGCCGCAGCTCAGCGGGTGGAAGCGGAAGAGCCTGATCCCAGAAGGCCCAGATTGCAGCAAATCTCCTCAGGAGGTTTTCGCAGACTCGGCAAGGGACAGGGTTTGAGGATCCGAAGTTCGCAAAGCTTTCCAGGACCTTAGCAATTGCAGACGCTGAACCATGCGGGACATTTGTATCGGCCGCAGGGCAAGTCATCGAATGACCATCATGGCATGTAAGGACTGGCCTTTGACGTGCATCTGGGATCACTTAAACAACTTCGCAAGGCAGTCCCTGCAAGGCGCAGTTGCTGCTAATCCCTTTCGATTCAAAATTCAAACTGACGCCCCCGGCTTCCTTCTCACCTTCTCCTTATGTGGGTCGCAGTCTGCCGCAAGGCGCGAGGATTCGTTTCTGACTGCAAGCAAGGAGCTGTCTTGCCAAGCTTGCATGGGCTGCGCAGGCCTGGAAGCCTCCCGGTCCATTTTTAGTGTCTGTCTCCTGCTATGCACCGAAGGCTCCCAGCCTCAGCAGCCCCACTCTGCCAGCAGCCCCAGTCATCTGGCAGAAACTCACGAGACTCAGGCAAATCTACTTCCTACAATTACACAGAGACCCCACTGCAACTCATGAACCTGCTGCCTTCAGCCGTCGCAGGACAAAGCCCCTTGTCTGTACCAACCTGCACACCGACTGCTTCGCTACCGCATTAGATGATGCATGATGATGTATGGAAACGGTCAGTCCGGCTGGTTTGCGTCACTCCGGCACTCCTTGTAATGTGCTGATATAACTATATACATATCTACCCGTACATTCATTCATTCATACATACGTACGTACGTACATACATACGTTTGACATACGTACACACACGCACATCGTGTATGGGGGGGTGAACCCTACTCCAGCACCCATGGCTCCATGAAAATGCATCGGGGCCATCCAAGGCAACTCTAGGTGGCTGCACCAGGCCCAACGGATCCTAAGGGCGTGTATGAACGGATGAAAACACCCNNCCCCCCCCCCCCCCCCCACCCCCGGGTTTTCCCCACCCTTCCGACACCAGCTCCGCGGGCAAACGAGGCAGCTAGAGCAAAGCCGCTCAGCTCGTGCCTCTTCATCGCTGCCTCACACAGTGTTGGGTTCAGGAGCTCCAAAGAGCGCAAGGGGGATGCACCTACTTCGGAGCCAAGCGCAGCGTAGCCGTGCTCCTCACCATCGCTCCCAACGTCTTCGTCCTGCACTCGCATCCTTGTGCTAGAGACCACGTAGAAAACTACACACAGTGAGCCTATTGCAAAGCAGCGTGAGTGTGAAGCTAATTGTTCTCCAATCGTCAAGACCGGAGTCGAACTTTGTGATCCGAAAGTGCTTGCTTTATGCACACATGTTCCACGTGAGTCTCACATAGTCATAGATTCCAAATTGTGGCAACTGATCGAGCGGAGAGTGTTCCTTACTTGTTTCAGCCTTATTGTCCTTATGGTGATGCGCGCAGTATCCTTCTTGAAAGAGATGCAGTCTTGTGTGCGTGGCGATATCAATCCTGAAATCGATGAGCCGAGGCGTGGAAAAATTGGGAGTGGGATGGTACTTCCTTTGATGTTCGCGAATACCACGTGGCTTTGGTTGACAACCAACCCATACCTAGACTTTGCAACCAACCCATACCTAGACTAACGAACGGTCAGCGAGATATCACAATTGGGCCAACTTGGAGACTTTCTCAAGGTTCCCCGCATGCGTCCGCGACACACGCACAGGCGAGATAGCTTTGCATGTCGACGCCTTCTCACAAAAAGGGTCAGGGCGATTCAGGCCTTGATTTGGAATCCAGAGGTTCAGAGCCTGGAGGCCAGGTTGCTTTATCTTGGTAGCATGTAACCCTTAAGACCGTGTTACTTGCTTCAGCCTCTGGCAAGGTCAAATCAACTAGCGGACAGTGAAGAAGACTCGGAGGACCTTTCACGACGCAAAATAGCCACCTTCGGTCTCCATGTCTGAGTCTTTGCCCAAGGTGATAGCATGCAAAACCTGCTTGATAAGCTGCACTCTTTGCTTGGGCATTGGCACCATGTTGCTCAGAAGAGCGAGTGGCAGCACGTTGCCGAAAGGATCAGCAAGCTGAGATTACAACAAACCGTGGTGGTTGATGCCAAAATTCCGAAGTTTTGGGCTGGCATTTGGAACGCCTTGGGACCGTGGACCTTTGTAACAGATGTTCTCGATGTTCCGAGTTCGTGGTTAAGTTTGCGGCAGAAGCTGTTACAGCCCAGGACCATTACTCAAGCTCTGGCCGCTTGTGAACTGTTTTTATACAAGCAAATGGCAAGCTAAGGGGTGTGGCTTCTGCAGGAAGCTTTAAAAGTCTATGACTGACTGCTAAGCGCAAAGCCCTACAGCCCCAAAAGAGCGAAACCCTAAAACCCAAGACTCCGAAGCAGCAACCTAAAACAACTCAGGCAGATCCAAAAGCCCTCAGCTTAAACCAATTTCTTGCCATCGATAGTTTGCCTAGTGCCGACAGGTGGGTGCCCGTACGGTGCAGAAGTTTTTGGTGAAACTTATGAGCGGGTCAATATGCCGCAGTGAGGGATCCCTTCCGTAGGAAGCCTGCGAAGCCTGTGCAACGACCCAAACCGAGACTTGGAGGTCATGCTGATGATCTGCACGTTGCTGGACACCACCATCAAAATGTCAAGCACAGGCACCCGATAACGGAGCATTGGCGTGTGGCTCTGTACATGCAACCTTGTGCTGACAAGCCCCTGGTTCCACTTGGAAAAACGTCGATGATGTAAAAATTGCTTGGCGATAGCCTCAAACACATCAACTGGGCACGGCTTGTGCTCGCAGATGCAGATCCTGTTGCTGTGACAAAAACGTGCCTTTGTCTGGGATTGCTTCCGCGATGCATGTTTTGGTTTACTTTCTGCTAAAGAGGGCTTCAGATTGAAAGTGACATCTGCGACAGCGTTGGGAACTTTTGTAAAGGTCATGCGGTTGACCCGATTCCAAAACAGGACTACGATGTTGTGTTTTGCTCGGTTGGAGCGTGTCGGTGGGCATTGTCGGGTTGCGCATCTTTAACGGCAGTGAATGAACTCTAGTCTTCAAGATGGGGCAAGCCGGGCATTCCGGCAATCTGACTGTCCGAAGCTTCAGAGCAAAACAAGAAAGCGGATGCGTGCAACTGCACCGCATGCATGGTGTCTGAAGTCATCCGTATCATGTGTAGGATGCGTTGCACCTGCGTGAAGTTGCAGATCGCGTCGGTGCTCGGCGGCGTGGTGGTTTGCACCCTCTGCCAGACATCAAAGGTGTGGAGCGTGGTCTTTTGCAGCGTACACCCCAGCAAACACTGAATGCTCATAGATGTTTCCGCTGGAATTTTGCACTGAGTGTTTCTTTGCATGTTCTACTGCTTCTCTGAACTTGAAGGACCTTTGTGCAGGCGTCAGCTTAATGCTGTTTTCAAAGTGATTTTGCTAGAAGCCATCACGGAAGGCGCAAAAGGTTACGCTCACCAACATCACCGAAACACGCACCAAACAAGCAGAAATACGCACCTAGTTCACCAAGCAAATGTAAGTGCACCAAACCAAAAACACGCACACAGCGTTACTGAGACGATTCTTTCCACACCCCGGAGAGCATTCCATGTCCGGAGGTCCTGGCCATGTGAGATTCCATTCTCCAGCAGAGGCGTCAAGTATTTTTTGCTTGTCCCAACATCAAAACAAAGAGAGGGGATCTACTTTGCTGACGTCCCTGACCTACTATGCTCTAGTGACCAGATGCTACGAACCTTGGAGACCTGATGCGGATATGGGCGCGAGCAGGGGTGTGAACAAGTTTGTCCATCGGCTCTTCAAGGGTAGTCAAGTCGAGAACACCGGACACCTTGGAAGACCGGGTGCTATACCTGCAATTTAACCCAATGTTTGTATTATGTGCGTACATACATATCAATACCCGACATGATCCGACCTGACCTAATCTGAACTGATCTGACCTGACCTACCTTACCTGACCCGATCTGAATTGACCTGACCCAACCTGATCTGACCTGACCTGGCATGATCTGCCTGGCCTGACTTCACCTCACCTCACCTAAGCCCTGAGCCCTGAAACCTAAACCCCAACATTCGCAGGAGCACCCCGAAATTTTCCAGATATTCTGAAACCCCCCCC